ACCCTAAGAGCTTTTGCGAAAGCCCTGAGAGGAGGACTCTCAAACCCTAGTTTCCAGGTATTCTCAGAATCAACGGATCTAGTTCTATCCCTAGAAGCTTCCGCTTCATTATTTGGTATCAGAGCCAGTGCTTTGATTTCTAAGTCAAGGCTCGATTCTGGATGTCATGTTGACCGGAAACGTCTACCCTATCACAGGCGAAAGTCTGTTTTCTAAAGAAGAAGAAAACTATGAGATCTACAGAGAGATCTATGGTGATCCCAGCTATGACATCTATGAAGATGATGTTATAGTTATTGATTTCGTTTTTCCAGAAGATGAATTCGAGAATCTGACTCGTGCAAAATTCGTGCGAAATCTGACTCGTGCAAAATTCGTGCAAAATCATACTGGTGCAAAATTCTGGTTTCCTGCCGAAATCATGGAACATCAGATCTGTGCAATTTTCGGGTCAAATCCGATTCGTGAAAATTCTAGGTCAAATTAGATTTGTGCAAATTTCGGGTCAGATACAGTTCGTGCAAAAATCGGGCAGAATCAAAAGATGGAGATAAAGCTGAATCTTCGAAGATCTCCTATGCTGAAAACCCTGTTGAAGATTCGAGGGCGAATCTTTCTTGGCCGGAGGGAGCTGATGCAGCGCAGAAACAAGATTCGAGGACGAATCTTTTCTTGGCCGGCGAGACCTGATGCAGCGAGATATTTGGAAATATCCCAAATATCTATTTCTATTATCTTTTAATGTATTAATTATAATTATTCTAGAATATTCTATGGATTTTAGGGTTTTATGCTTTTATTATAAATAGCCTTCTTAGGCTTCCTATTGTATGAAGTTATTGATAAATTAATTAATCGAAAGATTTAAAGAGGTTTTGATAAACCACTGTGAAGAGTATTCACAAACCCTAAGAGCTTTTGCGAAAGCCCTGAGAGGAGGACTCTCAAACCCTAGTTTCCGGGTATTCTCAGAATCAACGGATCTAGTTCTATCCCTAGAAGCTTCCGCTTCATTACTATTCGCGGCGGGAAAATGGCTGCATTTATGAAATATAGTCTAGGGTTCGCATAAAAATAGTAAGGTGGACGAAAAAATCTTGTAAAAAAACTCTTATCACGATTAATACTATACACTTTTCAACTCTCGTTTCATTGCTTTACGATTCGAACGTGCTCATCTCACGAGGCCTAGATCCCCAAATTGTCCACAAATTCTTAAGTGCGGATTCCGACATCATCCATATTTTAGCGCTAGGAAGGGCAGCCCAGTCTCTCACTCTAGAGTATCAATCGAATCGCTATGGCAAACAACAGAGATCAAACCTCTATGCTCGACGAAATCAAGAAGATGCTGAAGGATTTGGATGATAAGTCAGATCAACAGCAGCGCACCATCACTGAATTGTCTGAGAAGTTCATATCATTTGAGGAGCGTTCCGACACTTATGCCGACAAATCGACACTC